CATCCCCCCTGGGGGGGTGAGTTCTCGCTTTCTGTCTCTCTGTCTCTCTCTGTCTGTCTGGCGAGCGCACACGCCCTATAGCAAAAACCTCTCCAAAAAAAAAAAAAAAGAAAGAAAGAAAACATCCTACATGGAGAATAGCCATATTACAATCCCTTCTCTTTCATTTCTTCCTCATTTTAAGATTTGGGCTACACACATATATGAACCTGGCACGTTTTCCATGCTGTTGGGTCTGAGCTCAAACTGTGCAGTCAGCCGTGTGGGATCCAGCCATCTTAACCACCACACCACAGGCTGGCTCTAGACAGTTACGTTTTACTCATAAACTATCTTCATTATTTCTTATACCACCTGCTCACTCCATACCTTCTGTATTTTTTTTAGAGTCTGCTGACTGACTCCCCTGGCCGCATTCATGCTTCTCCTTTACTTCTCTGCCATTCTTCTCTAAACCTGTTCCGTGGGTTCTGGACTGTCTCATGTGGAGCCCTGACTCCTTCTGAATCTAACCAATACTTAGCCTTCTCAAGAGCTTAGTGTTCACTATTTTCCCTTCACTTTAGTCCTACTTTATCACTGCTCATTTTTTTCTGGGCCTATTCATATTCACTTGAGTTTTCTGTCTTACGGTTAGCCAGGGTTTCTTTGACGCATACTTCTGTCCAGTATCTGATTAGCTTGTTATCTCTCTCCATGACAACACTGTGTTTCTGACCATTCTCTGGAGGTTACATGACCTTGGGCTTATCCTATACCTCCTATCCTCCCTCTAGATATCTACAAGGCCCCTGCAACTTTTGGAATTAAAAAAAAAAAAAAAGTTTTCTCCAGTTAGCCTATGCACACTTATCTAGTCATTTGCTCCATGCCTTTCAGCCTCTCATTTTTTACATTATTCTAGCTGTATCCAGGGTTACTTTCTTTGGCCCAGTGTGATTTGCAAGATGACTGGTCTGGGACTCCAACCAGTCAATCATGTGGGATCCACCCACCCTAACATCCATACCATCTGCTGGTCCTGGGGTCTACTTTGTGAACTACTCTTTCC